AGAGCAGCATTCAGCAGAGACATCCCTCAGAAACTTAATTTCTCCCACTCTCCTGCTGTCTTGTCTTCCCATCTCTGCTCTCTTTGCACACAGAACCATCCACCTGTCTGCACACACACCTGCAGAGAGCAGCTGGGACCCAGCCTCCCTGAAAGCCACTACTGTTATCCATATAATTGATAACTGTGGCCTTCTCTGCCAGGAGGCGTTTTTTTCAGTGAATTGCAACATATAATGATGTTGTAGGGAGCAGATTGCTGAGACTCACGCCAAAGGAAGCCAAATCTTCCTATTTATGACATGGCGAGATCAATAAATAACTCCAATGCAGGCAAATTTGCAAATGGCAAATGGCTGCAGCCTGTGGGGTAGGAGCTGAAATCCAGCTGAAGTCTGTAAGGAAGTAACAAAAGTCACCATGGTCCCACTGAGTCTCCTATAACTTTTATAAGTTTGGGAATGTCAATCTGCTCCCTGGAGAGGACCTGGTTTCCCTGCAATGGGCTTATGCAGATGGAGGTGGGCAAGAACGAGAAGGTGAGGTTGATTTTTTTGGCCCTTACACAGCTGCTCACTTACAGAGTAGGGACAGGAGCTGTGGCACCCCTGTCCTCCCAGCATCACCTTAGTGATAGCTGATGTGATGTGACCTGTTCACAGCATCACTTCATTTGTGGAAAAAGAGGAAGGTTAAATGTTTTCATAGTGTCTTCAAATCCCTTCAAATCCCTCTAGCCCAAGTACCATCACAGAACAGTGTTTTCTACCTCCCCTTATAGAAAGCTTCTTGTTAATATTTGAGCAGTGAAGAAAACAGCAGCTGTAGCATCATTTTCCTCTTGAAGCAGATTGTCCTCAGGTAAAACAAAACACAATTAAGATACCAGCAAGGTCAGTTATATTAGACAATCCATATCCTCATAATGCAGATATTTCCTTCAATGTCTGTCACCAGCATCAAATCCCCAACCACAGCAAGATAATTGGCAGCCTTGTTCTAGGTGGAAGATGAAATGGCTTGTGTTGCCACCAAAACCAGCCTGGATTTTGTTTAAGTGCTGGAGCCTGGGGGTGGTATCGCTCATCTAGCTATATTGCTGGAGAGTCATGTATCAAGGACAGGCTTCTGAGGCAGCTTCTGTCTCCCTCCTATTTACTGCTCCATTAATTACAAACCAGATGTCAGGGCAAGATTTAAAAGTCAACTTTATTTGAAACCCTGCAATATGAAAAACTCAACCACAACCATTTTTTTTGTGGTGGGGAGGGGAAACATGAAGGAGAGAAATGTTCTTTAATCCTTTGCTTATAATTATTTTCTATTTTATTTTTAACTCTTATTTTTTTTTAAGTTGTGGTTATTTTTTCTTTTACTAAGTGGCAAAAGGAATTTCTCTTTTTATTTCTGTCCCCTCAACCCCCAGAAGAATTTTGGGTTTTCTCTGGGAACCAGACCTCACTCAAGATCTTCTCTCTGCCAGCTGGCATTTCTGTCATACATTCCTCTTGCTGTTTATGCCCCAAGACTGCTCAGAAATATAAATGCAGCTGCCCACTTGCTTGACAATGTTTTATTTGTGGACCATGGAGGTGCACACCTCCTCTTCAGTGTCTGCACAGTCTTCCAGGTGTCCTGGAGCTGCTGGAGACATGGCTGGGGCTGAAAGCAATGGTATCCCTGCCTCACAGCCAGAGATGACAGTCTGCGATGTACAAGGACCCGGATGATGAGCTTCTAGTGCCAAACTCTGGAGCACCCTGGGCAATCAGATGGAGCATCCTCCAGAGTCACATAATCATGGAATTGAGATGAAAAGGACCTTTAAGAGCTCAATGATTAACCCAGCACTGACAAGCCCACCACTAAACCATGTCCCTAAAAGAAGGCAGTGACAGGAAAGGTATCTAGAAGAATCTGGAGATTGTCCTCACTTTGGAAGGTCCCCAAGAAGTTGGCCCAGCCATCGCTGAATCTGATTGCTGAATCTTGGCAAGGCTTAAATGGCTCCCTATGTTAGCAGCAAAGTTATGAACAAGGGTAAAAGTCCCCTCATATAAAATGAGAAACTTTGGCAAAAAGGGAGGCAGAGCCTACTCTTGCTTCCATTCCCTAGCACATCAACATTCAGCCTCAGCCAGAGAGGAGGGAATGGACTGAGGAAGCAAAGAATATAAGATGAGGAACTGGTTCCTCTTGTTTTCAGCCTGCCAGTTGCCCACCAGCTACTACATTTTTCCACTAGAAGTTTGATTTCCTATTTATTGTGGGATTAACCATTTGGTTAATCTCAGGTCATATAAGGATGACTCTCATGTGTAAGCAGCCAACATGTTTAATGAAGACCATCCTGATTTTAGCAGGCTGTAGAGAACACAGTGTAAGGACAGGAGCAATAACATCATTCAGCTCCTTGCTTAGAAAAGCTTTGACCTTAAATAAAGTTTCCCTGTCGTTGTTCAGGAAGGTGTAATGCTGCACTCTCAGCTAGGTGATGGGAATAATGAAATGTAATAAAACAGTGAAAAGGAAACAAATCCAGCAAATTTACAGAGGATTTGGAGGTGTGTTCACAAAATTGTTAACCATTATTACAAATTATCTGAATTTTCTAACTGTAAAATTTTTGGTAGGAGTAAAGGATGATGGCAAGAAGATAAACCCATGTAACACTTTGGAAAGCTTAGAAGCTGTGAGAGTTGGGTGTAATGCCAGTTACTACAGGTACATTCTCTTGTAAAAGTGGGAGGGAGGGGAAACAATCTGTAATCAAAGAATAATTATGACCCTTCCAAGTGGGAGCCAGGGCACTGAGATTTGTAATGGGGCAGAGACAGCCTTGGGAAACAAATATATTTATTGATAGAAGTAAGTCACGAGGTGGCTGAACCAACTTGAATCCCCAAGCAATGCTGCCAGTGTTTTCGTCAGACATCTGCGAGCATTGGCAGATGCTGCAGCAAGGCCAAGGATGGAGTGATGGGTTCTACAGTTTTGGGTCCCACCTTAGAAACTGATCATAAACTGGAGGCAAGTTTAGAAAGCTACAAGAGGGCTGTGCTGGAGGGCACTATGGGCACAGGGAAGGCACAGACGGGCACCAAATCATAGGGAAGAGCCAAGAAGCACCACAGGAGGGACATCAGCTGGGGAGATCCAGCAGCGATTCCACAGCTGTGACTGTAGGTTACTCCCCAAGCCTTCCCATGAGGTCTGGACCACGGCAGATGATGACACTGGGGGCCCAGAGGAACTCCCTGATGCAACTCCAATCTACAGCTTTTATTGGAGAAATGTTTGGAGTTTCAGTAAGCACTCAATACATCTGCTTTCCAACTGGTACTCTACCTCCAGCTACTCCTGTGCTGAAAAAGGCATTGTTGGATTCCTCACCTCTTAGGACTGGAAACTGAACTGGACATTCCAGAACTGGACATTCCTACCACAGACTATTTTTGCAATTTGACAAAAGCAAATGAAATATTAATGGGAACACTATTTACATGGGAGAGGTGAAAGAACTATTTACATATCGCTTGGAGGAACAGTGGATCTGTAACCAGAGATCCAGTTATTCAGTGAGAAATGTAGCTAGGAAATCCAACTACAAAGGTAAAAAATTTGGGTAAAAATCAAGCAGCCAATCAGTGGAGCGACCTAACTGCACTAAAGCATGGCTCATCGGTCCCAATTACAGTGGTTCGTACTAACAAAGGGTAGTCTGTAGCCCACGGAGTCTGTAATCTAATCTGAGATTCAGTGCAACCATGAAAATGGAGGAAAATGGGAGAGTAATGTAAAACATGATTAAAACTTTGTTAAGCAAATATAATCGGAGCACTTACACAGAGAAGTGGTTTGAGAGTGTTTTGAGCAGGTGGGTGTCTCTGGTCTCTGGCCTTTCATGAAGGCTTCATATCTGTCTTCTGCTCCTGGAAAGCCCCTCGAACCAGAGGCGCTGTTTTCCCCTTTCTCCTGGTGCTGTCTACTTCCTCCGGCTAGGCGATGTTCCCAGCAGGGTGAGTCCGACGGTCCTACCGTGGCAAGGGCTGTCTGTCCCCGGTCAGGGAGGGAGTGAGGCTTCAGCGCGGTCATTTCCCAAGGCACGCCATCTCGCGTATGCTGCGGGCAGCAGGTCTGCGGGCGGGACAGCACCGTCCTGCCGCCAAACCCAGGCTCGGGTGCATGGGCGGTCCAGTAAGTGATGCTGGTACCGCGCGGTGGGGCCGGAGGGGCTGCTGAGATCCCGCTGCCAGTGCGCTTGAATCCCCCCACTAGAAAGGCGATTAGTGCTTTAGCAAACACGACTCCTGCCTTGCTCCAGGGGCGCACCAGCTGCCGCCAGGCTCACGGCTCCCGCGAACGGGCCGGGAGTTGCATCGAGGAGGGATGGGGGGGAAGTTCGGGGGCTTTTGCAGTTTGATGTACCACACCTCACTCTTGCCTCCCCTGGGCTCGGGAGGTTACCCGCGGGTGAGGCTGCCAAGGGACCAGTCATGGCCACTAACGCAGAGCCGTGATTTAGCATTTTACGCGGCGGTGGCAGCCCGGCAGCCCCGCTCTTTCATTGGGAGCTCACCGCATTACCGGAGCTTTCTGGCTACTTCTGGGAAAACTCCTGACGTGGCTGTGCAGAAGGACGGAGCCAGTTCCCAGCTCTGGCTCCCTTCAGCTGAAGGGCGTGCGGGGCGGTCCGTGCGGCCCCGGCGGCGTCTGAAGGCCGTGGCACGAACACCCACGACAGCCGCTCCTGCTCCCCTCGGCTGAGGGACAGCGCCCTTGACCCAGCTCGGGGTGTCTCCCATCTCGGAGCCATTCCCGGCCCCACACCTCACTCAGTCTCGCAGGGCGCGGGTGGTGCGCTCCCCGAGACACCCCGCCCGTCCCCGCACCCGAGCGCGCCCGGCCCGGCGGCGGGAGCCCCGGCCCGCTCCGGCCGCCGCCGCCCCCCGCCGCCAGCGCCGGCCCCAACTCCTCATTGGCCGCGGCCGCCGGAGGGAGGATGACGCCCGGGCGGAGCGGGCGCCGGGGCTATAAAGGCCGGGCGGGCCGGCGGTGCCGCGCTCTCGCTGTCCCGCACCGCCCCGCCATGCCGCGCGGCTTCCTCGTCAAGCGCAGCCGGAGACCCGGCGGCTCCTACCGGGCACGCCCGCGGGAGCGGGACCCGGACCGGGACCCTCCGCCCACCCCGCTGCCGCCCCCGCCGCCCGCCGCAGGGGATGGCCCCGCTGCTAGACAGGGAGCGGAGGAGAAGGGCGAGGAGAAGGAAGGAGCCGTCGCCGCTTGCCCCGCGACGTGGCCCCCCGGCGGCGGCTGCGGCGGCCCCGGGCTCACCCCGCCGGAGGCTCCGGCCGTCTGGGGGGCGACGGGGCCGTGCAGCGCGGCGGGGCCGCGGGCGGCTCTCTTCGAGCGGTGCCTCAGCTCCCCCGCCTCAGCCGAGTCCTTTCCCCTGGCCGCCTCCTTCCCGCCCGCCGAGAAGCTGCTGCTGCAGCCGCGCACGCCGCTGCCCGCCCCGCCGCTGCCGTCGGTGCCCGCGCTGAAGCGGCCGTCTCGGGCCAAGGCGCCGGCCAAGAAGGGCAAGGCCACGCGGAAGCTGAGCTTCGCCGACGAGGTGACCACTTCGCCCGTGCTGGGGCTGCGCATCAAAGAGGAGGGGCCCGAGGGCCGGCCGGGGCCGCCGGCGGGGCGCACGCCGCTCGGCGAGTTCATCTGCCAGCTGTGCAAGGAGCAGTACGCGGACCCGCTGGCGCTGGCCCAGCACCGCTGCTCCCGCATCGTGCGCGTCGAGTACCGCTGCCCCGAGTGCCACAAGATCTTCAGCTGTCCCGCCAACCTGGCCTCGCACCGCCGCTGGCACAAGCCGCGTCCGGGCCCCAGCGCCGAAGGCGCCGCCTCCGCTCCGCCGGGCAAGGAGAACAGCCCCGAGCGGCGGCCCCGCGGCCCCGCCGCGCCCCAGCCACCGCCGCCGACCCGTCAGCACCGCGGCGGCGCGGACAGCGCCGGCGGCGCCCCGACCGCCCCCGGCTGCAGCCCCGGCCCGGCTCACGGCGGCGCTCCCGGTCCGGGCGGCGGCCCCGGCGGGGAGGCGTTCGCCTGTCCCTGCTGCCAAAAGCGGTTCCGGCGGCAGGCTTACCTCCGCAAGCACCTGGGCACCCACGGGGCAGCGCGGCCTGCCGCCTTCGGCCCGCCGGAGCGCGGGCCCCTCACCTTCGCCTGCCACCTCTGCGGCGCCCGCTTCCCCTCGGCGGACATCAGGGACAAGCACCGGCTGTGGCACGCCGTGCGGGAGGAGCTGCTGCTGCCGCCGCCGCCGCCCGCCGGGGTCCCCGAGAGCGGCTCGGCGGGCGGCGAGCGGCAGGGCTTCCCCTGCAAACACTGCCCCGCCACCTTCTTCAGCGCGCCCGGGCTGGCGCGGCACGCCAGCAAGTGCCACCCGCCGGAGAGCAGGCAGGTCCTGCTGCTCCAGGTGCCCGTCCGGCCGGGCTGCTAGGCCCGCGGCCGCCCCGGTGGGACTGCCCCGGGAGCCCGGGCTAGCCGAGCGAGCCCTGGTCACGCTGTAATTCCTATGGAAAGTCGCGGCTCTCACGGCTACGACGTCGGAGAAGCCGCAAGGTGACCAGCTGCCAGTGGATAGTGACCCGTTCAGCCCACGGGCCGCGCTGCCGGCAGCGCTCCCGCCGAGCCCCGCAGTGGAGGGAGCGCCGCGCTGCTCCCCAGCCTCCGGGGCACGGCCCCGGGCCGCGGCAACAGGCGAGAAGCCCCGCCGGCATCTGTCGGGAGGCGGGCACTGCCGAGGCGTCGGGTGGCGGCCCACCGCCGGTCCATCTTCCGTAGCGACGGAGAGAAGAACGGCTGTATATAGGGTATCTAAAGAGAGAAATTATTTTTCGTGAGAAAAGGAGCCTGATCTAGTGACCTTGTTTTAATAGCCTTAGACCCCGAGTTTCAACATTCGTGGTGTTTTGTTTGCTGTACTCTGTACTAAGATAGCTGAGAAGGTAAATGTTCGTATTAAGTCAGTGTCAAGTCATATAATAGCTAGCAAAACGTATGGGAAATTAATTGTGCTGTCTGTTTAATTGAAATACGAGGTGTTGATCTTCTATAGCTAGGTACGCATCTCCTGCTTACTCTGTGTCTCTGTACTCTAGCAGCGGTGTGATGGGCAAAACACACGTCTCTGGCAGCTGCCCGTTCCCAAAGCTGCTCCGCTCCGTTAGTGGCTTGTTGGTGCGGCACGGACAGTAGCCAGAAGGGCAGCTCGGTCTCACCAGGCTGGGCAGCGTGTGGCCCCGGCAGCCCCGCCACGGCAGGCAGGCGGAAAGCAGCCTGTGTGCGGCTCGCCTTTTCGGGCGGCCTGCGAGCCCTCTTCCCCGTGAGCTGCGCTTTTGGTGTGAATTCCTCCGAGTCTTGTGAGCAGCTGAAATTAGGACATGAAGCAGTCTTTAGACACGTTGCTAAAGCGCAGGTGACAGGCTACCTTCCTTCTCCCTAACGACGCCTACCTTTAGCAAAGCAACCCGCGGTGTGTATTCTCTGGCTTTTGAGTGCTCTGGCCAAATGCATTGAAGTGCTGTTGGATTTACCAGCTACTGACACTTCAGCCAGTATTTGTTTGTTTGTTTATTTATTTACGTATTTATTTTTTCCATGAGTGCTTGTTTCTAAATGTGATAGCAGATGAGGCTAAAAATAAGGGCAAGAAAATTCAATAAAAGATTTAAAAGAAAGCTCATGCCTTTCTTGAATTCAGCAGGGCAAAGCAGATCAGCTGGTGACTTCCAAAGAACCAAACTGATCCTAGTCGTAGTCTTTGTTCTAACATTCTCTCTGACATGAGCATGCAAAATATTTCAATCTCTTGATTAGCATCCTCTAAAGCAATTATTTCTGTAGTTTTGTATTTTGCTACACACAACAAAAGGTGTATCATGCCCAAAGGCTGCAAGCAAGCGATAAGTGCTTTATGTTAAATGTGCTTCACGGACTTTGTCATTTTAGTTCCAGAACCTGGACAAATGAATTAATACAATATAACCCAATGCAGCCAAGATTTGCTTTCTGACAAAGGAGGCTCAACTTGAAACTCACCAATATGCCAAAAATAAAGCATGTTATTTTAAGTTGTGCATTTTTCTGTCGTTTGTTGGCAACTTAGGTAAAAAATGCCTGTTTATGCAATTAAATGAGTTTGCCCCTGGAGAAAGTCACTGTTGTTTTTTTTTTTTATTTTTAATCATGGTTCCTCTTTCTCTCCTTGTGTAGTCAAAGATGAAGGACTCCAGACCACGCAAATGTGATGATTATTAACTGCTCCTACAATTAGCACTTGAACAAACAGCCTGCCAGAGGGACCAGCCTATGCCTTGTATTACCTGCAGAGTTACATCCAATGTATTTACTAGATCTGGGGAAGTTTTCAGTTGGGCATTGAGAACTTGTGTGTACTTTTTAATACAAAGGAAAACTAAAGCTGTGTATTGCATTTAACTGCTCCATGTGCATGTAATACACAATCCTTCTATAAATTCGACTAAGAATCTAATTAGTGAGGTGAATGACTAATATACAAAAGGTGGTAAGAATAATTTTATTGGATTATTAAATAGCATGTCTTCTCTTCAACCATTACAAATTTGTAGATACTACATGAATGACAATACATAATTTCTTCTTTTATTGTTGCCCATATGATATATTTACACATGCAGTTAGTACTGATGCCATGCTACATTTTGTTAACAGCATTTTGTTGTTTACTAGACTCAAAATGTGAGCATTTAGTTTCTGTAGGAAAATACCTCTGGGTGGGTGGAACTCGTGTACTAATCTGCGCTCAGAAGGTTGAAATTATTAGCATTTCAGGCCAGGCTCCCGGAGCATCTTACCTTTTCTTCCCTAGTACCCATCATCACGGCAATGAATTTCTATCAGAAAAGTGTTTGTTTGTTTGTTTTTTAATGTAAGAAAAAAGAATATACATCTAGATGGAGCACCCTAATGATAACGGCTAAAACTCATGAAACTCAATGCCATTTACTATTGACACCACTTGGAAAAGCAAACATTATAAAAATATTTGGAAGCCAAGCAGAAGTAGAATTTCAGCACAGTGATTTTTTTTTTTCTGGCATAGATTATCTGCAGAATTAGGAAATTATACATTGCTTTATGATGAAAGGGTGCTATAAGCAAATTATTTCATTTGGCTTCTGTAATGCTTGAAAGGCCATTGAACTATTTTATTCTCAACATAAATAATCTGTACACATCTTGTGCATTAACATTGTGACATCTGACAAAGACTTTACAAATGCAACTTCAATTTAAAATTGTACATTCATTTTCAAATTGTACATATTTCTTTCTTTGTTACAGGGAAAATTGCAATGGGGCGCAATAAATATAGTGTAATCCAACTGCAGTCTCCAATTCCATGTTGATTCAAGATCAACCAGAGTTAAAACCCAAAGTTAATCATCCATAATCATCCAAGTAGGTAAAAGGTGCAGGGTACAAACTGCACTGCAAAGAAAAAAAAAAAAGGCAGACTGGAGTTTAATAAAAAAACAAAGCTAAAATATTCAAGTCCAGTGTCGCTGTTTAAAATAAACATACAGAAAAGGAGGATGCAGGGCATGGGTGCACACACATGAGAGACATTATCCTTGAATGAAAGGTGTGAGCAGTAAATAAACCCAAAAGGTGGTGAGTCACTGCGGGAAGGGAGGCCAATTGCTCTTCACTAGAAAGCTGCAGGCATCTTGCCACTTAGGACTTGTTGGCTGAGCCAGAGGAGCGGCGCAGTTTCATGGACATGCGGCTCTTGCTAGTCCGAGGAGACATTGGAGAGGCTAAGTCTGTTCCATCCACCTGTGTTGTTGCTGCTGCTGGAGTTTCTCCCGGCTGAGTCTCTGGGCAGAAGCCTGCAGAGGACAGCAAGAACCAGACGGGTCAGTGCTGACTTCCGCACTTGCAGCATGGATCTCTTAGCAAGGGGCAGACAGGAATTTCAGTGCTGCTGTCACTGCCACAGCATCTCCTAGCCCTTTACCAGCTGTGGGTGATGGTATTGCTCATGGAATTAGCAACTGCCACAAATGCACCCCTACAGAAAGGATGGTTCCAGAAACCACTGAGCTATGGGACTGCAGAACCCCCTCGCTCTGAGCAATTGAGGCAGCACTGAAGTGGGCAACATTCTCCCGCTAACCAGGAAAACAAACAGCTCCAGTTCCCTTGCAGGGATGGGGGAATCATTAGTCAAACCACAACCCAGAAGAATCCAGTCTTTAATGAGAACATGAAGGTTAACAGCTCATTGCACATGAAGGGAGCTCTAGGAATGCTGCTGAAGAGGTGGAGTGAATTGGGAGCCAACTGAGAGAGCCAAACATCTTCTCCCATATCAACTTCAGTTGGTACTTCAAAAGGCAAATTCCTACAGGGCCCACAAGGCAGAAGCTTGAACAGATTGTACTAACTGGATGCACTATATGTTAACGTTTCTTTGTAAAAGGAACAAGATGAATTTGAGACAATGATATGTAATTCATTAGCCCAGTGCCCAGAGCTACACTCCAGTGGCCCCAGAGTCCTCACTGCAAGGGACAAGGCTCTTTCCTACAAGCAGCCTGTCTCCAAATCTTCTTCCATAGAGGTACAAAAGGAAAAGGAGAAAATATGAAATCAAAATCACATTCTCCTTCCCGTGCTACAGAAAATTAATACTGTGAACTCCCATCCATAAAACTAAACTGCATTTTCATTAGCCATTTACACAGACTGGCAGTGTGATTGAACTCAACTACCTCGGTTGCCTCTGAAGGCTTCTAACCCATATAATTTAGAGATAGAAGCCTGGTCCTGCAGGTGTCAATGGGGAAACCCCTGCAGACTGCAGTAAGCCAGAAATCACTTGCTATTTCTTCCACATCATGCTATTACTGGTAATTCTTTAAAATAATAATGCAATAATCAGAACTGAAGATCTCTCTGCCTCACTATACATTTCACATATAAAGGGTGCAAAAATCATTCAAAACTGGCCATGATTTATTTTGAAAGATTCCTCTAAAATCAAATGAGGTCATAAGGTAAGAAGTCTAGGAGCAAATTTAGAAGATTGTCATAAACCTGTGGTATTTAGCAACCCGGCTGCTCTTGCCTGGTCCCTCACCTGCCTGCTCCAGAGCAACAGCACAGTACTTTCTATCTTCAAACCAACACAACCCATCCGAGTGACAGGAGAGAGAAAGGGCTGTTATTTGTTCCCCAGCTGGTGACAGTAATTTTGTTCATGAACTAGGTACTTCACTGCCAAACAATCTGGAAAAGCATGATAATGCCTGACTCACTGTGCCTTATAGAAAAAGGCAGGCAGGGAAACATGCATTCGCATTTTCTGAAATTCTATCTTGTTCTGATTTTACAAGAAATTAAAGCATTTCAAATGGTGGAAATTAGAGAATAGAAAATAACCGTTGTTGT